GATTTGTCTAAGCATCTTCCGGAGAAGCAGAAAATCGTCCTGTCCATGCCGACTCAGGCGGCGGTGACCAGCCTGTGGTCTCTCTCCACCTTGGAGAAGCCTCGGTTGCTGCCGGCTCTGGCACGCCAGGTTGGTGTCAGGGTTTAGGGTTTATAGGGTTTGGGGCTTAGGGTTTAGGGTTTAGGGTTTAGGGTTTAGGGTTTAGGGTTTAGGGTTTAGGGAAGCGCTAGCGGCCATGGATTCCAGCAAGCCTTTTTTTTGTCAACGCTTGAGTTCATCAGACTAGTTGCAAGAAATCTACACGATTTATCATGGTCTGGCTTGTACATTCACATCATATGGTTGCGATTATGCTCTGATTCTTTACATCCATAACGTGTCTCAGCCAGAAAGAAGAATCCCGGCCCATTTTCCGGAGGCCATGCTGGCACAGCTCTCGCCGATGGAGTGGGCAAACAGCCCCAGCCCCAGTTGCCCCTGGCGTGGCTCTTGCTCAGGAACTCAAGACTTAGGTATCGTGATGAGGTTAGCTATACTAACGCTAAATTTCGCAGTACCCTAATATCATGGTAGCTTGCAGCTGAATTTGAAGTACAAGACCCCAGCTTTGCATAGATCCCGAGACCTTGGAAGGCTATTCAGGTTTCATGCACCTGCAATCAAAGAGACCCTCCTAAGCTCGTACGTCCCGCTGTGTACGTTTGTCTACACACACACACAAATTGAACAGAAAAAGAAACTATATGTTTATATAGATATATAGATAGATAGATAGATAGATAGAGTATGGCCATATATATATGTGTATGTATGTATGTATATATATATATGTAGAGAGATCATTTGCTTGTTTAAAAACATGGAGAGAGAGAGAGAGAGAGCGGGGGGTTTCCCCCAAGCCCTGCAGAAGAAGAAGAAGAAGAAGAAGAAGAAGAAGAAGAAGAAGAAGAAGAAGAGCGAGAGAGAGCGAGAGAGACAATTTTTTGGGTTTGGTTGTCATGTTTAGGGCTTGGGGTGTGGGCCCTCTCAGATTTGGTGCATGGCAGGTCTTTGGGCTTTAGCCAATGCCGGGATCCATGATCCCAAGTACTTCGAGCTGGCGAAGGCTCTGCAGAGAGTTTTAGCTTAGTCAAAAGTCGTACTGTCTGGTGCGAACAGGTTGTTTCGAAGCTGGTTAAAAATAGTGGTTCTGTTATAACCCACCCCTTTTTGTTGAATATCCTGCGGGTTTTAATCATGCAAAGCTTGCCAGGAAGAACCTGATTCCATCGAAAGGAGCTGCTTCAAAACGTGAATCCTGTTAATATGAGGGTCCTGTTTAAGCCCTAGCCTCCGAACAGTCTCCGGACCCTCTGCTGCAAGGCTTTCCTGTCGTGACTGTAGCCTCCTAAACCCGAAGTACCAAAAAGCAACAGAAACAACATGTACCGCCCGTAAACCCCCCAAACACCCTAGGATCCCCGCGCACCCCTGAGATCCCTAAACACTCCCCCCCCCCCCCCCCCCCCCCCCCCCCCCTAAACCCTAAACCCTAAACCCTAAACCCTAAACCCTAAACCCTAAACCCTAAACCCTAAACCCTAAACCCTAAACCCTCAACCCTCAACCCTCAACCCTCAACCCTCAACCCTAAACCCTAAACCCTAAACCCTAAACCCTAAACCCTAAGAAGCCCAGCGCTGAGAGGCGCAGCTTGGCCAGCCCGAGGCCCTTGCGGCCTTGGCGGAGCAGAACCCCTCCGGTCGGGCTCGCAGAGTTTGCCGGTTTTTTGTTTTGGGGTTTTGGTGTTTAGGGGTTTTGGCGTTTAGGGTTTAGGGTGAGGGTTTAGGGTTTAGGGTTTAGGGTTTAGGGTTTAGGGTTTAGGGTTTAGGGTTTAGGGTTTAGGGTTTAAAGGGTTTAGGGTTCAGGGTTTAGGGTTTTCTCGGTTGCAAAGTAGATGTTCTATTGTTCTATGGCCCTGAACAGTCGGTACTTCTGGGGGGTGCAGGGGTTTGTTGCACGTTGGGATTCAGGGTTTCCAGATTCAGGGTTTCCAGGGTCTTGGGCTTGGAGTTCAGGGGTAGGGTTTCCTCTATCCAAAACTTGAAGCCCTAAACCCTACACCCTAAACCCTAAACCCTACACCCTAAAACCCTAAACCGTGACCCCCTCAGAGCTCAGATGTGAGAGGTGCGCTGCTGGCGAACGTGGCTTGGGCCTTCGCCTACGCCTCGGCGCTCCTTTCAAGGACCCTGAACCCCACAAACCCTATAAACCCTAAACCCTAAACCCCCTGAACCCACAAACCCTTGTAAAGCCGCGTAGGTTTCAGCTGTCTGTTAGGGGTTCAGGTCTATAGGGTTCAGGCTGGGCCTTCAATTTCAGGGATTTAGGAGTCAAGGTTCAGTCTTCATGGTGGACTGCGGGTTTTAGGATCATGGGAACAGGAAGAGCAACTCTTACGTTTGTGGCTTTGGAGTATAGTTACCGTAAGGCCTCAACCCTACACTCTAAGCCCTTGCATGGCAGTAGATTCCTACTACTTGCTTAAGAACCCCCCACAAAAAACACAAAATATTATTCCTTTCAAGGGCAATATAGGGATTATTAGTCTATATTTTTTGGGTGTTCTTAAGCAAATAGTAGATTCCGGCCAGGCAAGAGGATGACGAGAGATTTTTGCAGTCCATCCGCGTGGCAATGCCCCTTGGCATGACCAGCGCGCCAAGCCGCGGTCTCCCATCTTCTTTCTCGGCTTCCTTACAGGGTTTAGGGCTCAGGGTTTAGGGTTTAGGGTTTAGGGTTTAGGGTTTAGGGTTTACATGACAACGCACAACCTCAGAAGGCACCATATCTCGGAGAGATGCTGAAGCCCATGAAGCCCGATACACCCAGCCCCCTGGGAGGATCCAAAAAGTAGTACGTAGAATCTTTGAATAGTAGCCTCTACTACCATATTGGGTCATGTTTAGGAAGCCCTTTAAGGGGATCTGCTTCAAGAATCCACCCTAAACCCTAAACCCTAAACCCTAAACCCTAAACCCTAAACCCTAAACCCTAAACCCTAAACCCTAAACCTTGTTAGGATCCTCCCAGGGGTTCTGGAGGCAGACGAAGGCTGCCCATCCTCTTCGCCTCTGCAGGCGTGCCCTGGGCGCCGAGCTGGGGCGAAGCCAGCACCCTGAGGTCGCGGGTTTGCATGCCTTGCCGGAGTGAAGCTCTAAGAGGGCTTTGGGTTTAGGGTTTAATTAGGGTTTGGGGTTCTAAGACTTGAGGGGTTTTGGGCTTGATTGAAGGTTTTGGTCAATTGCAGCAATCATAAGAAGACAGTGTTCCAACAGCTCACATGTCCACCGGTGTCACCGCCCACGTAGTCTTGCACAAAGAAAAGCATTGATTTCAGATGGAGCATTTTTAGGAGATCTGCGATGGGGCTTCAATGTGGCTCGAGTCTACAGCAGCGCACATGGCAACAGAGTTCAGGGCTGGGGGTTTTTTGATTTCCGGGTCCACGTTGACTTTTCCAGCTGTTGGGTACCTCAGCAGCATTCTGATGTGTGTAGGTCCAGGTCCACGGAACAAGTTTTCCCACAAGAAGGCCTTGGGCACGCCCTTTCCCAGCGGTTCCTGATTTCGGCTGGAGATGGCCATGCTAGCGGTGCGCCTCCTGAACAGTGCATCTGAAGTAGCTGTGGAAAGCAGCAGTGGAGAGAAGACGCTCGTGCTGAACCTGGATCTGAAGCTCCAGCTATCGATTGCGAACCTCTTGGAGGTGCTGCTGAGCCAAAGCGCTTTTGCAGATATCAATGCGACTTCAGGAGGTGATGACGAAGGCGGAGATGCAGAGAGCGAAGGAGGGCAAATTGAAGCAGCTGCAGGTGATGCGGCTGAACATGTTCCTTCGTGGCAGCCGTTGCTGGAGTCTGAGGACATGAACCCAAGTAAGGGTTGGACCCCACAGCTGCCTCGGGTTTTAGGAGAGACCCCCAACTACTCAGCATCGGAGTGGCTCTCCGAGACACTGCCGGTGCCTTCTGCATGGGAGTCCCTTGATGTACTCCCAGTTGGCGGCGGCCGTCCCTCGGATGAAGAACTGTGGTTGCGCCGTGCGAATGCACGCAGGAGGCAGATTCAGAATAGCAAAAGTCGCCCTGAGTACCTCCGCTATATCTCTCAGGTCAACAAGGAAGACCGGCTGGCAACTCATCCCCGGACTCCCAGCCCCACACATCGGATCTCCAAGCGGCAGTTCGACCGTGAGCTCTCTGAATGGCGTCAGAAACTCCGCTTGTTCGATGGGTGCGAGCCCGACTTGGCTCAGGAGTCATCAGAGCTGCACCAACATGTTCAAGGTCTGTCGCAAAGCAAGCCTTGTCCGATCCAACTTTTCCCCCATCTGTACCAATAGATACCCCGACCGATGATGATCAAGGCTTTGGCCCAGAGAAGGACCCTCGCTGTCGTTTCAGGTGTCATGCCTGGCGTGGAAGAGAAATGCTCGGGGGGCATGTCGTCAGCTTGCGTGTGTTGAATCAGGCAAATTCAAATTCGCATACGCGTGCTCATGCCCGGTTTCTGTTCACCAACTCCACTCGAATACTTGAGCTACTCGTATAGGACGTACCTTTATAGAGTTCCAATATAATACGATAATATATATATATAATACTATTTTGTATTCTATTATTTTATTTTTTATGTATACATATCTATGTGCTGCCTGTAGCTTCATATTGGAGGCACAGAGCCCTCCGCTACCGGCGTGGGGCGGCGAAGCGCCGCGAGTGGAGGTGCGTTCGGGAGGCACGAGATGGCGTGCTTGCAGGTTTATGGGGGGGTTTACGAAAATAGGGGACCCCTAAAATACACCCCCCAAATGGTAGGGTTCTCCCTTATAATTCAGGACCCCAATAAGGTACCCCTACTTTCGAAAACCCCCCATATGACTGCCCTCATCATCCCGAACAATCACTGAAGCCCTGAATTGTCGATGCCCTAAACCCCAAGCCCCCATAAACCGTGTCATCCCCATGTGAAGTAGGGTTTATATTACTGTTATTGGTGAGTGTATATTAGGTTCTTTTTTTCATTTTGGTGAGTGTACATTTGGGGATACAAGGAGTATAAACCCTAGTTGTGAGAGACTGCAGTCCCGGCAGGACTTGCACTGATCTACAAGCCTCCCGGATGGGAGGCTTTTCGGGGGGAAAGGTCGGGACATTGGCTTTTGGTAGTCTGCTTTGGTTCTCAGAAAAGGCCCTCAGCAAGAAACCCTGCCCCTGAAGCCGTAAGCCCTGGAAACCCTTTAGCCCCCATTCATGCATATAAAAACAGATCTCTTAGCTGTTCCCATCCATGCTCTTGAGTGCAAGAGCATGAGAGCTTCAGGAGCAAGTTGAACCATTGCACCCCTAAGCTTGACTTTTACCGCACAGAATGCCGGAGCCCGTTTCTTTTGGTCGATGTTCCGGCGGTGCCGCAAAGTGTGCTAAACCCCAAAACCCTAAACCCTGAAACGAGGGCTTGGAGCCCTTCGGCCCCACTTTCACAGAGCTTCCGGCTGATCCGCCGGTGGCCAACTTGTCGTGTTCTTTTTAGCGCAGGGATGCTGGTAGCATGGCAGTGGCCCGCCTCTGAGAGTCACGGTCCTTGAGGGTCTGGGAGTTCATGTGTGGATCTGTGAATATCTTCAGCATTCTTCAGTCATTCAGGCAAAGAGCTGAGCTTGGTATGGCCCCCGAAGCATTCATGACCAGTCCAACAAGCCTCAGCCTGTGAGCACCACGCAACCAACTTTTGGGGGCAATATTGGTTAGGTGGTCGTGTGATATGAATGGCTGCTGGGGGATGACAGAGATTTCGAAGCCGTTTCAAACAGTTGTCCCTGACCCCCCATGCAAAAAAAATGTAGGGAGGGATGCATCCCGAAACCCTAAACCCTAAACCCTAAACCCTAAACCCTCACATGTGGGCCCACTTGAGGAGCTGCACTCGGGTAAAGCAGGACAGCATCTCTGCCACACCATGGCTAGGAGATCCCCGCGGCACATCTGAACGCTGCAGCTTCACCGTTTAGGGCTTAGGGTTTAGGGTTTAGGGTTTAGGGCCCTCTAGCACCGAAAGCTCCACAAACTCCAGCATACCCTTAACCTGGCAGGTGGATGGCAGCGAAACTCGCGCTGCTTCTCGCGCGATGAGGCGTGGTTGTTTTGTGTGAGAGCAATACAGTACCGCTTCATGCAGTAAACTTCGATTATCATGATTGCTCTTGTTTTTGCAATGGTTATGTTTTTGCTAGTGTGATTGCTATTGTTATTGTTGGCTTGTGTTTTGAACATTGCTATTGCCATGACCATTTTGTCAGGATCGTGTGCATGAGCTATTGACTTGGCCGACCTCCCAAACTTTTGCTAGACATGCATGCATCCATACATACATACCTGCATACAGACATGCATACATCCACTTATTCAGCTATGTCTTCTTTAATAGACATGGCAAACAAGTTCGACGTAAGTTTTCACGGACAAGAAGCGCCCATGACATGTCGTGTGGCTAGTCTGCTTCCCATATTGCAATGTTCAGGCTGCGAAAGCATCTTCAATGCAGTTTCGGCACCTCTGCTCCATCTTCTTCCCAACTCCATGCATGCCTTTGTCTTCCTCACAAGGCTTTCGCAGGCGTAGGCAAGTTTGATCAATTACATGTTGCTCTCCGCTTGGGTCGCAGGTTCTGGTGTGGATGTGGTGCCCTAAGTCCCGCCACCGAGAGGCTCTCAGAATTTGTGGCCGCAACGCTGCCCTCTGAAACTGTGGGCAGCAAAGACCGAGGCTTTGGAGGCTCACCAGCTGGGGCACGGCAGGGTTGAGGGTTGAGGGTTGAGGGTTGAGGGTTGAGGGTTGAGGGTTGAGGGTTGAGGGTTGAGGGTGTAGGCTGCAGGGTCTCTCAGGGCTCAGAGGTTGAAGGATTGAGGGCCTGAAGTGTAGCGAAGTTCAGCTGGGATGCCTACTTTGGATCCTTGACCACCTTACATGCGGAGGAAACAAAACCATCAGGGTCCATGAGGAGGGGGATGTACCCTAAACCTTGAGGCCCTATAAACCCTAAACCCTAAACCCTAAACCCATTCTTCGCAGGACGCTTGGACGTGGCCTCCTCGGGCTTAGCGCCTCGGCCGCAGTCTCGGCAGCAAAGAAACGGCGAGGACTATTTTCCCATTGTATCTATTTAGGTCGGGTTTAAGGTTTAGGGGTTAGGGTTTAGATTAGGGTGCTTTCTATTTAGGGCTGAGGGTCACAGAATGACACACCGAAAGCGGGAGGGTTTGGGGTTTGGATCGGGAAGGGGTAGAGGACCGGAATCGGCGAGTAGAGCCCCTTCCCACAACAGCAAGTACTCAATGATTGAAAAGGAAATTGGGAACCCCATCTAGCCATGACATAGTATGCCAGTTCCTCCTTTAAACCCTAAACCCTAAACCCTAAACCCTAAACCCTAAACCCTAAACCCTAAACCCTAAACCCCAAACCCTAAACCCTAAACCCTACAGACCAGTAAGGCAAAGCTGTCTGTTCATCCCCATGGCTTTTCAACGCAAGGGAACCCTTGAACCCTCTACCAACTCACCCAAGCCCTCTTGACCTTATGGGCCTAATTTTGGGTGCATTTTAGTAATTCATAGAGGGACCATGAGGGAATATGATCAGTATTTATTCCGACCCCTATATTGCCGTATCTTTGTAGAAGCCTTAACCTCACACCCATGAGGTTCTGCATGCAGAGACCTACGAGGCCTTTCTGGACCTGCGGTGGCAGCAGGAAACCTGCTCTTACATGTCACCTGGAATATGTGTGCACAGGCTTGAAGCTACTCCCAAGCATAGTGTATAGTGTGCTTTGAGTGCACATCCAGATGTTCAGATTTTGTGCTTTTGGGTGGTTCGGATGCATCCTTCCAGTGGTTGGGGGATCTTGCAAGGGATTTCTAGTATACAAGTGGCCCCTCATTTCAAAGCCAACTATTGACCGACAGGATACCCTGAAGGTCGAGCGCGAGTACCTGGCTCTTGTGCATGGGTGACTGGGCAGGGTTGGGCGCATGCTGTGCAGATTAAGGGCTTGGGGTTGGGGGCTTGCCAACCTAAACCCTGGACCATAAACCCCTAAACCCTGAACCCACAAGTTGAACCAACCTGCAGGACAATGGGGCTGCTCTGAAGAAGGATCCCTTTGAAGACCTGTTTAGAGTGCGTAGGCACGTTGTATGTAGCTTGTTGCCGCACACAGCTTGCCGACATCTCTAAGGACTATGAAGCCAGGCCTACAATGCTTGGACGACCGCCTGTCAGAATTTGAAGGCAGGGCATCGCAACGCCTAAGCCCCAAAACCTAAACCCTGTAGCCAGGTTCTGCTTGTGCTTAATCCAGATGCTCTTTCTCTGCTCGTCAGAGCCGCGCATGTTGCGGTATGGAGGCCCCCTGACCCAGAACCCTCCGATAAAGTGCAGCCCAACTGAAGCTCGCTATACGCAGGCGGCAGCACTGTATCCCCTAATGGCCGGCCATGTCGAAGCTGCTCGACTCCAAGGGCGGCTTTGTGGGCGTGGGGATTCGGGGTTGAGGGCTCAGGGCTGTGTTCGCAGCGCGGTGGAAAGCAATTCTCGACTCGTAGCCGGGTCCCGAGTGCTCTTTTTAGCAAGGAATGTAGTTCCAGATGAAGTCCGCAGTAGGTACCTAAACAGGACTGCAGTGTTCTACAGACATTTACGGCAAATCCAGTCAAGGCAGCGGCTGGCTGACCTCTTCATTTTCGAAAGCATATGCACCCTTCTCCAGCTTGACCCATGCATCATGGCCCTAAGCCCCTAAACCCCTAAACCACTAAACCCCTAAACCCCTAAACCCCTAAACCCCTAAACCCTAAACCCTGTAGGGTTTAGGAGAACCCGGGCATTCTTGCGAAGGCTGGGCGCTGCCCATCCGCCTGCTTAGCTGCGGCGCTTTGCAGCCGCCCGTACGAACTAATAAATTTGCTAAGGAGAAATGCCATTTTGGCTTTGGGTTTCGGATTCAGGGTTTAGGCTTACTTACTTCTCTGTTGAACTGTGCAATCTCATGCGACCCGGTCCTGGCGCACATGATGCTGCTGAGACTGTCATTTTTCTGAGCGGCAAGCATTTCTTGGGCATTGAAGCTAAGCTTTCACAATTTGTAACATGCCAATGTCGCAAGTTCTGCATGTAAGTGTACAAACTATCCTTCTTTCGCTGGCGTCGCATCGACTTCGGTTCGCACTACGAAGCACCCATTCTTCTCAAACGTTGGCCCCGAACTTGGGCTGCTTCGACAGATGCTCCACGGTCGCTAAGTCGATCCTGCGATGCGTCCCCTAAACCCTAGACCCTAAACCCTAAACCCTTAACCCTGAACCCTAAACCCTAAGCCCTAAACCCTGAACCCTAAACCCTAAACACAGTCCTCACCTGAGCGCGGCTCGACACAGTGCTGAGCGGTTGGCTTTGAATCTTTGTGGTATCCCAGCATCCTGGGGTGATCGTGGGTCATCGTAGATCCGTAGCATCTCCTCCATAGAGATGTACACGCACATGTATATTTCCTGAGATCGACTTCTGCTTTTTCACCCTTGTATTTGAGCCATCCCCTTGTCCTCTGTGCCTTTCGCGACTCACCAGTCAGACCCATCAGCCACCACCAGTTAAGGTGCCCTAGGTAGGCCCTTGGGACATTTTATCTTCTTCCTTTATTGGGTTCAAGAGGATCATCGTCAGGAAAATTGTTCAGAGGGTTTTGAGGACCATCCTAGTGACGTCCTAGTGTATCGTAGAGCCCCAGAGCTCCAGCCCTAAACCCTAAACCCTAAACCCAAAGGTACACGCTGGTGGCCCTGTCGATCCTCACTGGTCGCCGGCACCAGATCCGCGTGCAGCTTGGCAGTCGCGGCTGCTTGGACTCCGACGGCCGACTGCCTCATGAAAACTTTCGACATCTGCTCGTCGAATAGCTATAGTATACAATATATAGTAGAATATATATATATAAGCAATATTCAGCATATATCACAATATATGCAATTTTTACACGAGATATGTGAGGGTTCTGAGGGTTGCGGGCGCAGGGTGCTCAGTCTCCTCGACCTGAAGATCTAGGCCCCCAAACCCGGGACAGTAGAGGTCCCAAGGTCCTATCTCTTTGAAGGGATAGATCTCTACTCAACCAACGTGCTAAGTGCATGGGCGCCCTTCCCCCGCCCCTTGAAACGTAACTCATGTTGCATGGGTCATGCACTATCATTCTTTTCCCGCGGCTTCTTGAGCACAGTCAGTCGCCACTGTAGCCTAAGCTTCTGGTGTGGCTTGCAGCCCAGTCCCCTGCTCGGAGCCCATCCTCCCCCTTTTCAAGGCCATGCTCGACGCACGTATAGATGTATGTGGCTTGGGGTTCAATCTGATTTAGTAGGAGTCCTGCTTGGCCTCAAAGCTCGTCGCGAAGTTAGGCCACCCCATCGTCAGCGACGGGCGCTACAATGCGAATTCCATGAATCAAGACCTTGCATGGTGCCTTGACTGTAGAAGATCTTGCTTTGAGGAGTCTTCGTGTGAACTGTCGTGGGGTCTTCGCGATTGCAGCGTTGCATTGTCCAAGATGCAACCAGACAAAGCATTCGGGGGTGCTGGGGCGGGGGGGGGGGGTGGGGGGTGTTGGTTGTGGCCCGACTCTAACCACATTGCCAGATTTCTGTGCGGGCAACGGACATGGCCTGACGCGCAGCGTTGTACGTGTGAAGCTCGTTCAGTGACCCTGAGCCTTCTTGGCTAGGCGAAATCAGAGCAAACCCCGCAGCTTTTGCAGGTGAGCCCTATATAGCAGAGACATGGATCAATGTCGGAGCCTTTTGTGCAAACCTGCTGTTCCTGTCTTGTGATGTCTTGTGCCATGCCATGCAGGTTTGAAGGTTCAGGGGCTTTAACCTCAAGGAAAACCATACTGCAGAGAGCTCTTTGATTGTATGGTCCCATGTCTTGCTTCGCTGCCTTCAGGTGCACCAGGCTCTTTCTGCACCGCAGCCGCGTGCGCTGCGTTGACATCGCTGACCAGGCGTGCTTTTAGAGTTTCGATTGTTGTTGTTGTGTTTTTTTTGGCTGCAGGGCTACGGGGGTGGGGATTTCGGGTATAGGGCTCCAGACAGCCCAGGAGCTCGATGTGACAGCGCCTCTGCCTGCTGATCTCCTCGCTGGCCTTGAGTCGCCCGGTATAGGGTTTAGGGTTTAGGGTTTAGGGTTCGGGGCGTGTTAAGAACAGATACTACTATTTGCTTAAGAACCCCAAAAGAATATAAAGTAATAATCCTTAAATTACCCGTAATAAGGAAGAATGTTTTGTATGTTTCGCGGTTCTTGGGCAAGTAGTATACCTAATGTCATAGCATAATTAATGACATGATAAGACCATCATATATGAATTTTAGGGCATTTCATGTATTATTGCTGTACGTAAAAGAATATACAAGTATAGTATTACAAGAATTCAAAGAAGTACAATCAGAATATAATGTCGTACTATTTCAAGAGAATATGCACGATATATAAGAAGTAAAAGATAAATAAATAGATTGTATATGTAAATGTTTATGTATACACATCATAATGTCTCAATAGAAGAAAACAGACAAATCGGTTCGGGTCAGGGACTGGCCGACTTTCTGAGGGACAAGGAGCTTCAGCTGTGTTTTACTGCGCCCGCCGCAAGTCCCCCTTCAAGCAGTTGCCCAAACCTCCTACTTGGCGCAATTTGGGGTACTGGGCCCACAAAGGGGCCAGACTTGCGAATGCCTGGCAGATGACTGGGGGTCCCTTGAGGGTCTCTTCAAGGGCGTCAAGGTCAAGCGTCCTCTAGGTCTCCATATTGCTTGGAGGTTTTGTTGGGGTGTCCGGTGTCTCGGAGTACCAAAAGAGAAACAGGGCAACAAAAAGAAAGCTGGCTGGCAGACTTCGCCCCAGCGTTGGCTGCTGTTTGCTTGCCTTTCTGCATGCGACACTTAGGGTTTAGGGTTTAGGTTCGGGTCTTTAGACTCATGGTGCACAACTTTGCCCTGTAAAGCTGCATACCGGTCCCGCGAAGGGATTGTAGAACGGGGTCTCGTTCATGCATACGCAACGTCTTGAAACGATCGCTTCTACCGTCAAAAAAGGTTGGGGTGGGAAGCCTTGAAAGAGCTCTGCCCACATGGTCAGTTCTCAAAATGATGGTCCCTTCTGGGTACCCTAAATATTTGGGACCGCCTTACAAGAGTAGGCCCCCCAAAAGAGACTTATAATGGTAAATCCCTCCCAAAGGGGAGGCTTATTTAGGGAAGTTTCCATATAAGAGTACCTGTCTCAAGGTGTCACTAGCTTCTATCTCTTTCTGCTCACGACGTCCTCTACCACAAAGTCAACTCTCCAGTCCAGGCATTTGGGAGCCGATGGCCACGAGCTGATGCGAGAGGCTGAGCAGTGCCTGAGAGAGCTGACTGCTCGGGTGCGCCTCGAGCGGCAAAAAGAGGCTGCGGAGTCGGGCGCTCTGACGCGGAAGGGGCTGCCTTTTGATGTCTCCCAAAGGATGCCACGAGATTTCAAGTAACATGCCCATGTTTGAAGCCGTGTATCCTGTGCAATCGTTCAGTTCGGGTGAAGGCAACGACGTTTGATTAGTTGTTGTTTCTCTTTGCTGCCTCAGACCTTGAAAAGTCCTACAGGCTGTTGGTTGGGAGGTGCTGGAGCCCTGACACCATGATACTCATGAGTATGTGATGGTGATGATGATGAACTTCTCATCATCCCGTCATCGTGGCTACACAACTGGGAGCCTTCCTTCGCAATTGGGAAGCTATAGCCTAGCACATTGAGTGTGTCTCCTTTTTTTGTGATCCAGACCTCTCTTATTCCATGCTTCAGAGGACGTCCTGCACGAATGCCAGGATCATCCAGGGCCTGCGCCGATCCTCGATGGCTGAGAACTCAACGAACTGTCGGTCTGGGAAATTTTCCAAGGATTAATGCACAAACCCCGTTTTAAGGGCATAAAGGTTGCTCCAGGGAAGCCCTAGTGGCTTTTGAAGTATGAGGGCTGAGACTGGTAGAGAGAAGGCCCCTTGACTGCGTAAGGAACTTCTTCATGTCTTTTCTTGCTATGGCCACACTTTTAGTCAACGACTTACAACCAAGCCCTAGTGTCTCGTGGTTGAGGCCGGTTGTGGCTAAGAGAACTAAATGCTGCTCTGGGGGCTCGGGGAGACGCTTAACTCGGAGGAAGCAGCTACAGTAGTTACAGGCGCAGCTCTGACTGAAAATGGCTGCAGATTTCGGGCAATGTGAACACATCACTAGCCGAACTGCCAGAGCCCTGCCATTAGTTCTCTGTTGCAACCTCACCCCCGCAAGACGACACCCTAAACCCTCACCCCCACACCCGAAATCTACACGAACCCCAAATGGGGATTTACGATTCTAGGGGTACCTTGTTGGCGTCCTTATAATCCGGAGATCCTACGTACTATTTGGGGGTCTACATTAGGGGTCCCTGATTTTCGTAAACCCCCAAATGCAAAGACTTGTCAGTCCGAGCCTTGCTGGGCACCTGCGCCACGGGCTCCGGTAGAGCTGCTGGAGGAGGTGGAGTGCTTTGGGGCCAGGGTTTCGGGTTTAGGGCTTTTTCAGTTGTACAGGGGTCTGAACTTCTTTTGTGGAGGCAGGTTCAGGAAAATCCTCATGCCGAGTCATGCATGCCTCACAGCAGCCGGTCAAGACTGCGTGCAATCAAGGTCCAGACACCTCTTGACGTAGACCTTCTCGGGTACTCTGTGGCAGGTTCTGCCGCGAACTTCCCACGCAGAGGCGCTCTGAAGTTTAGACTCATGATGTCACCTCGTTCTTGGCCCTTTCTAGTGTCACAGTCATGCATGTCATTTAGAGGCGTGTTAGGGCTGGGGTTTCGGATCCCACCGTAAACGACCCTACGGTTTGGTCTCAATCCAGGCAGATCCCGCCGAACCCGACGAAGAGATCGTCTTGGAGTTGGAAGGAGAAGGAGAAGTGAGCCTGGGGCCATCGCACATGATGGGCAGACATTTCGGGATTTCCGAAAATAGGGGTCCCTTCTTGGGGCCCTCCTTACTATAAGGGAATCCTACTATATTGGGAATCTATATTGGGGGGTCCCCCCTGTTTTCCCAAACCCCCCCTTTTTGCAGGACAGCCGAAGTGCAACGTCGCAAGAGCGCAGGACCGGCGCCGGGAGGCTCCCCACACGAGGAGAGTTCGGTCGAGAAGCCGGGCTTCGGCCTTGGAGTGTCAAGAATCCAGGGGGGATTTTCGGGCTTAGGATTTTCACAGTAAGACCCTGAACCCTGAAGCCTAAAGCCTAAAGCCTAAAGCCTAAACCCTAAACCCTAAACCCTAAACCCTAAACCCTAAACCCTAAACCCTAAACCCTAAACCCTAAACCCTAAACCCTAAACCCTAAACCCTAAACCCTAAACCCTAAACCTTAAACCCTAAACCCTAAACCCGAACGAAGGGATCCGGGGTTCTAGTGATTCTAGTGCTGCACCGCTTCCTGTAATTCTCAAGCATGGAAGGAAAGCGACATGGCAGCACTGAAGCAAAGAAGCAAACAGCAACGTTGAGTTTTCCACAGATTTTTCATGAGCAAGCGTGCTCATCTAGCTTGTTTTCTTTGATATACACGCACCACATATGCATATCCAAAAGCACGTGTATGTGCGGGGGGGGGGGGGGGGGGGGGGGGGGGGGGGGGGGTATACAGCATACGGTATACGTATGTCATAAGTTCGTTACATGCATGCATCTAGGCAGACAGCCACCGGTACATATGTACATATGGAATCAAGGGTGTTGCTCATCGGTGGTCGCCCTTTGGGTTGTGCATCGGGTGTCAAGATGACTGCGGATGGGCCCTTCCCTTCCTCCTGGAACCCGCAATTTTTTACCCTTAGTGTTTAGG